GAAGGATGGAATACTTTTTCTCAGTTCGAATTTTCAATATTTTCTCTAGTATTGAGTATTACTATTATAATTTTTTCTGTCTCGAAGTTCAGGAGTTGCAGCCTTAGGATGGCCCGCGGGAGCCGCACTTGAACTCCACGCGCCCCGGGTCCACCTTGCGCGGCCGGGAAGCCCCCATGAACTCTCCAGAAAGGGCGTGAAAGGGGGCCGAGCCGCGCGCACCGCCCGGGCGCCAGGGGGGTTTCCTCCGGGGAGCCGCAGCCGCGGAGCCGGGGACAGAGGTGGAGCATGATCGTGCGGCCTGGGGGGACCTCAGCGCAGTAATGTCAACATGTAAGTCTCACCTTTCAGTTCAGAATTCTTTCACGTTTTTATCTGCCCCCTCCTTTCCCCTCCGCGACATGATTTTGTAAGGACTCGAACTGCATTGACGAAGTGAACCGGTTTGTCTTCGGTTTGGCCCTCAAGGCACTGAGAAGTGGCTCTCGCCAAGCAGAGCTGTGACATGTGTGTGCGGCTTTCTTTTATTCCCCCAGCGAGGTAAACCCCGCATTTGGGCGGTGTAATGCATAATAAAAAGGGTAGGGCTTGAAGAATGGGGGAAAGGTGTTTTCGATTCAAATTAAAAAAGGAGTAACAGGCACCGCTCCTCCGTCCGGGGGCCTTACCCTGCCAAGAACGCGCTCTCCGGAATCAACACCTGGGGGCTTGGAAGGTACTGGTATGCCGAGAAAATGTTGGCTTTACACATTGTCACCGTTCACTGTAGGAGTTATTCTTGGATCTTTGGGTATTTGATTTGTGTTTTTGTTGTGTTTTGTTTTTAGAGGCGTGCAGAAAATGTTTCAGTGTACTATGTAAGTTAAAAAGTAATTAGGGATATGACCTTGTGCGTGATAGGATTTGTGAGGGGACTGCTGTAGACTTATAAGTGGGGTTTGGGGGGTGCTGAAACAGTTTGGGAAACCTAAAAGGTTTTGCCTCCATGGAATTGTCATCTAAATGGTGAGATGCCTCAGAGCGACCCCGTGAAGTGGCCCGCTAAGCACCGCGTGGCCTTCCAGAATGGAAAAAAGGAGGATTGTACTCAAAAGGTCCAAGTTTATTTTTGTGGCTAACTAAGGGGTTACTTTTTCTTGTAATATGTACTTCTCCTTCTGGTGTTTTATTTAATCTTGGGCAGATACCCTGACAGCTGTGTTATTCACTTCCATTAACTAATGTACAAGAGTTTCTAGAATTGGCACTCACCTTCCCTCCCCCAACTCCTGGATCCTTATTTATTTTCACATGAATTTTCTCCTTCAGTTTAACACCTGAAAAAGACCTGCCTCTTACGTCCTGTCTTTTCCTTCCTTGCACTGTCCATTGCTCCCACTTCCCTATTCCTCAACACACATTTTTAAAATAGGAGAGAGAAGGAGTAGGGGCCCACAAGACTAGCTCCCTGCAGCTCTGTTCCTGGTAGTGTGCAATGTCATTAGAAATGAACCGGTTATTTTTACTAAAACTGCATGTGAAATAATTCCACACCTGTGAGTTTTAAAGTTTAATTTATGCTAGTAGAATCAGCAAGGTATAACTTAAAAGAATTTACTTTGGGGTACAGCCAACAGTTTTATGTAAGACTTGTTCTCATATACAGGCAACATGTTTTGAATGAATATGAGTTTGTTTTCATCTTCAGTTTTTCCTGAAAGTATAGTAGGCTTTTAAACAGCAGGTATTTGTCTAGTTTTCTTTCAGCTTTCCTAGGTATTTAGATCTTATGAGAAAAAAGTGCATTATACATAAAAATATGAATACCTGTTTTTAAAATAAAATATGTGAAATTGATCAACAGGTAATGTAAGAATTTTCTGATTATGAAATAAGTTATGCAGTCTATGGAATACCTTGTGATTTAAAAAAATCATGTTATTGTAGGGTAAATGTGTGAATATTAAGTCACATAGAAAATAGGCCTTATACCTTGATTTGAGTTTTTTTATTGAGCTATTTTACCTGAAAGTTTTTTTTTTTTTTTCATTTTTTACCAGATGGTAAGCATCTTTTCTTTCTTCTGTTTTGCTGTTTACGACTCACATGGAGTGGTTTAAGATGTTCTTATTATTTTTAGATATTGTATGTTAGAGTAGATGGAAAGAATACTAACCTTTCCAAGATAAATATTCCTACCATCTTGTTGACAAATATTAAAATGGGGAATATAAACTATATTACCTTTTAAATTTTAATTTTAATGAATTCAAGTACACAAACCATTTAAGTGTATTTTTTGCCTACTCCTTGTGGAGAAAGGGTATTTGTATATTGTTACATTCAAGTTCTGATATAAATGTATTTGAGAGTTGTAGTGACTGCATTTTTTTCATACCCTACGAAATTTAATAGACTTAGCAAGACTTGCATTAATTGGTATCAAGCTGCATGAAGCTTCTATTCCATTTATGGCTTATATAAATTACATGACATTGTGCTTTTCCAATGTGAATGGTGAATGAGGCTATTGTCTCTTGGCTTATGGGAAATATTAGAAGCCTGTAGTTTTACAGCCTAACTGGACACGTCATTCTGATTTCTGGAAATAATGATTTGACAGAGAATCAGTTTATATATTAAAAATAAACTAACAACTGCTTTTAAAAAACCTGACCATTTTTCTAACCACCCATGTATCTTACAGAGTTTACATTTCTGATGGGATGATTAAGAGTTTCTACAGACTACTTAGAATTTAGACTAAATAGAAAACACTTTGTTCAATGTGTGTGGTATGCATGGGCAAAAACTGTGTCTTTCCATTTTCATTTCTAATTGGATGACATCAAGATGCATACTGGTTGACTAGGGCAATGTCATTTAAAGATACTGGTTGCAACTTAAAAATGCCAGTAAAACTTTAGCATGACTACCTGACTATCATATTACTTTTCTTCATAAGCATTACTCAAAATGGAATTATTTGGAATGTCTTTTAAAATGACTCATTTATTTAAAGCAAAGCAAATATGACAAAGGCTTAACATTTAATATAGGCTTGGTTAAAAAATCACAGATCAGTGAAGAAAATATTTATATTGTAATAGAAAACTATACAAATGTCTTGAACATGCCAGTCCAAATATGGGACATCCAAATGAGATTCTACTTCTTCTTTCAAACTGGTAATGATTGAAGCCATGATACTCAATAGTGTTGAAATGAAAATACTGACACACTTCAGTGTAATGTGTATGTATTTAACTTTTTTAGAAATAGTTTTAAATCTGCAGCAACATTGCGAGGATGAAACTAATACAAGGAACAGCTGCATACCCTTTACTCAGAATTGCTTATTGCAAGTATTGGTCCCATTTGGTTTGTTGTTCTGCTTCCCTCTCAATACCCCCTCCAGTACACACACACACACACACACATACAAACAGGTAATTTTTTTTTTTCTGAAGCATTTGAGAATAAGTTGTATACATCAGGTCTTCCAGGTATAGTTTTCATAGAAATTTTAAAGATATTTGTAGATTCAAATACAGTTTCAAGAAAAATACAGAGATCCAGTGTGCCCTTTACCGGATTCCCCCAATGGTAGCATTTTGAAAAACTGTGAAATAATATCCAAACTAAGATATTGATACAATCTACATCTATTCTTCAGATTTCCTGAGTATCCCACATACTCATTCATGTGCAGATGTGTGTGTAATTCTCAAGGCTGACTTTTAATCTCACCTGTGATACAAACCAGTTAGCGTGTTACTATTCTAATGAGATTTAAGATTTTTGCAGATATGAAGAGTAAATCAGCCTTTTTTTTTGAAGTGGGAGTGAACTCAACCTAATAAAAGAACTTATGTTGGGTAATAAAATAACACTTTTTGTTTTTTATACATTTGTTTGACTCTGGAACATGATCTTTAACTAAAAGAAGTACAATAAGCAGACTTGAATAAACCAAATTGCCATTCTTTTCATTGTGGAATAAATAAGGCATTTTTCTCTGCCCCTAAAGTTTGCCATAGAAATATAGTTGTGATATGGAAAAGTTAATTCTGACTATTGCTGGCCTTAATAGAATTAGTACCCTATCAATTTCTCTGCCAATTTCAAAATGTCTTCATTAATTTATCTTTAAATTGTGACTTTTAGGGAAATCACTAGGAGAAGGGAGATGGGAAAACGATTATTTTCATGATGCGTTTGGATAAAATGACGTCTACAAGGAATCATATCCACATTTAAAATAATTTCAATAAAAGTGTTACATTCCAAAGATTCTTGAAACAGGACTCAAGCAAATTGTATTTTGTAGGCTATACAGATTGAAAAGGGGAACAAGTTTATGTTAGAAGTAGCTAGGCTCTCAAAAAAAGAACAGCTGGATTGGAAGCCAGGTGACATAAGGGATCTTGTTACTCTGCCACCACTGACTATTTGGGCAATTAGTTTAGTATCTTTTTTTTTTTTTTTGAGTTGGAGTCTCACTCTGTCGCCCAGACTGGAGTGCAGTGGCCGCTCCCGGCCACCGCAGCCTCGGCCTGCTGGGCTCCGGCGATCCTTCTGCCTCAGCCTTCCGAGTAGCCGGAATTACAGGCATGCGCTACCACGCCCGGCTGATTTTTTGATTTATTGTAGAGATGAGGTCTCACTGCCCAGGCGG